CAGTATGATATTGTTGTTGTTGTTGTGTGCCGTGGAGTATGATATTAGCTGTGGGTTTTTGAAGATCAAAGTTGAGGATGTTCCCCTGTTGTGTTTTGAATCAACCTGGTTTGCTGTTCATGGGCTGGGCAGTGGACAATGCAGGCTAGAAGGTTCCAGGAAGCCACCAGGATGAAGGAAAGACATTTCCGTCTGTTTACCTGTCTCTGCTACTGTTATGGAACCTCCAGAATATCTGTTTTGTCTATGGGTTGTAGCTTGAACAGCCAGAGTAGTGTCTACAGAAGGCCCTGTAAGTAGCTGAACACCCAGTAGGGAAATGGGAAGCAGCAAATTAGAATGAGTTTTGGATTCAAGAGCACCTGGGTTTGAGTTGCAAATACAACCTATTGACTATGTAACCTTGGGAAAGACCCTAGCTCTTCTGAGCCTCAATCTGTTCTTTGGGAAAATGTGAAAACTAAATCCCTGCATCACAGAGCAAGTAAGCTAATACATTCAAGGGAGACATTTTCTCTTCCCAGTTGCATGAAGAACTCCAGAGCAGGGTAGATTTGCTACCAGGAGAGGAAGTCTGAGAATAATCTCCTAGACTGTGAGTTCCTTCAGGACCAACCATAGCTTGTTTAACTCTGTAGCCCAGAGTCTAGCACAGGGCCTGGAATAGAGGAGGGTCCTGGCAGTGTCAGGGAAGGCTTTAGATATAGACAGGCCCTTGGAGATCATACCCATGCCCTCTGACTTCAAGAGAAAAAGGACATGCCCAAGGTCTCGAAAAGAGCCCTGACATCAAGTCCAAGGTATCTTTACCAGGGTTTAGTGGTCTTCTTTGCAAGGAATGGTGGGTGAACAAACCTTTTGCTAGTGGGTATTTCTAAGGTCCTCAGTCTAAGAAAGAGGAACAGATGGAATAAGGCCAGTATTTTTATAGCCACCTAAATCTTCCCCTCCCTTGTTACAGTAAGGGCTTATCTCTCCCCCCTTCTGATTCCTATTTGCCTCCAGCATTTAGAGGGGAGAAGCTGAAGAAGGGATGGGGTTGGTTTTGGTCATTCCACTGCACTAAGGATCACCCAACTGAGGAATCTTGATGTGGCACCCCACCTGCTTGATGGGCATTCCCGTCTGCAAGTCACTAGATTTCTTGGACCATATTGTCCCTATCCATATAGAGGGAGAATGAAAATCATTATTACCCTTGACTACAGACTGGTTGGAAAGCTCAGATGGCATACTACCCATGTCAACTCCTTGTGACCTACTGAGCCATCTGTTACCACTAAATAGATGAACACCAAAGATGAGCCAAGACTACAGCAGCCCCTTCCTTCTCCACCTGTACATTTAATGCCCATTGCACCCCCCGGGTTGTTTCAGAACTGCCTTATGCATGGCTCACTGCTGGGAGAATCTTCTCAACTTCTAGAAGAAAGCAACATTAACACTCCTTGATTTCTCTTCCTTATATTGACCAGGTGATCTCCAAGTCTGTCTAATAAACTGTATCCCTGCAGTGGGGGCAGAGAGGCAAAGTCATCCTTGTGCAGTGGGGATGGGGGGAATAGGGAGGTTGTAGGCTGAGACAAAAGTGACATGTGACTTGCATACTGAGTCACCACTTCTCCACAAGCCCCAGTACATGCCCAAGTAAAGGTGCTAATGCCTTCGGGATTCTCACAGTAGTAATCAATTCGCCTGCTGAGCTGAGGGAGTGGAGATATCGACCTCAAAGGCAAGGCCCAATGTTCCTGCCTCCTGTGAGAATTCTATCCACCATCTGCCAAGATGGGCTGCCTTCTGGATTATGTTGTTGTTGTTGTTGTCAAGTGCCGTAGAGTCAATTCCGACCCATAGCGACCCTGTATAGGGTTTCCAAGGAGCAGCTGGTGAGCTTGAACCGCCGACCTTGCAGTTCAAACGGCTTTGCAGTCTGACGCATTAACACACAGCATCACGTCTGGATTATGGGTAGGTGCTTAATGTTCAAAATGCAAAGCTCCCTTTCCCCAGATTACAACAGTCACTAAGTAAGCATGCTGAGGAGATTTCTTATGATGACTCCTCCCGCCTGATGTGTATTCAGCCCTTTGTGGTTTTTGTTTGTTTGTTTTGTTTTTTAATGTGATTTAGATCTAGGAAGCAGCAGAGGACAGCAGCGATGCCAGCAGGTTCTGAGCTTTCTCATTTCCTGGCTCTGTGGCTTTGCTTAAATTGCTTAATTTCCCTGAGCCTCAGTTTCCTGGACCATAGTCACAGGGTCACTAGGGTTATCATGAGGATTATGGAAAATGTTCACCAAATTCTTAGCAAAGTGACTAGCACCTAGTAAACCCTCTGTTAAAGGTGGTGATTCTTATTCCTGGCTCATTTGCCATTTGTAACAACACATCTAAGACTATGTGTATGACGAGGGTGGTCCTAAGTGAATACAAAGGATTGACCAAGGATGAATAGCAATGGTGAGAGGGGAGCTACCTAGTTAGTTAGGAGCAGAAGTAAGACAAGAACCTGAGTGGTCTTTGACTAAGATCCATTGTCACACCAGATGTCCATTGTCCTGTTGGCAGCTCTCAGTTATCCCCATGGAAATCCTAGGGCTGCTTTAAAAGAGATCTCTGGGCTTGACAGACATTTCTTACAAGACCACAACTTCTGACATAGCTTTTTTGTTAGTTTGGCTTTTGGGGAAATGTTGAGAGAAGAAGCTGAGCTGGATGAATGCAGCAGATGTCTTCATTGGGGATGCTCACAGGTGAAGGAGAGTGGGGCAAGAACCATGTTCTCAGGTCCAATGGGTTCCTTGGGACTGGAGGGCAGGCTCCCATCCCTGGATGTTCCAAAGAGAGCAAGCTCCCCCTCCTCCTGCAGCTTGAATCATGTCTCATACTAGCTTGTGTGGACAGCAGGTTTCTTGGTGAGGTGACAGGTCATTCTGCTTTAAATCTGTCAATCTCTGCCTCTCAGTCCACAAGCGCATGTGCAGAATGGGTCATCATAGCCTACAGGGATGGGCATGCTACTCACATTCAACCTTGCTCTAGCCGAGAGCTGCCCGAGCTGCCCTGGTTCAGTCTGGTGCCTCGCACACATGTCAGGTCCACTGAAAGGTACTGGGCTTCCTTGATGTCACCCTTCCAAGACCATATGTGTCTTCCAGATAGATGCCATTTAAACCCCAAAGGGAACTCTTCCAAGGGAGTTGTTTCAGATGCATGTTTATTGGACACCCTCAACTGGAGTCAAGCCCTGGTCTTCGAGGACATAGTCAGGCCACTCAGTGCCACAGAGGAGTCACATCACATCCAAGATGTGACTCTAAAACAAGGAGTCTGAAGTTTTGTTGAGGTATACAAAGGGCTGTAACAGCCATTTCCAAAGGAAAGTTAAGGGCCAAAATGGTTTGAGCAATGACAACTTCTTCAGAGTAAGGACACAGATGATTGCTCCGAGGAACCACGCATGTTTTGAGGTCTATACTGATCCAAAGTCACTTACTTGTCATAATTTTTAACAGGGCTAGTGTGGTGGGTGAAAAACACCTGTGGTCGCAATCCATCCCCCTCCCCCATTTGCTTCAACAGGTTGAAGATTTGAATCTACTTCAAAAAGGTTACAGCTAAGGAAAACCCTGTGGAACATAGTTCTATTCTGACAGACACATCATGAGTCTCAGTCAACTCAACCACTACTGGTTGGTTGCTACTAGGACTATGGCTGTAAGCAAATGGAAATAGATATGACATAATGTAGGAATTCAAAGGCACAGTTAAACTGATAATACATTCTGGGGGCATTACCAAGAGGCTTTTCTTCAAGGACTCGGTTGTTGACCATAAAAGAGAAGGGAAAAAACCGAAAACATAACAAACAAACAAAAAAGGGGAGGAGGCAATTAGGATGGAGGTTATAGATTCTCTTCTAAAAGATGCCTGAAAGAAGGGCTGGTAATTTAATGGGCAAAGTTTTTGACTAGGTAATCACTCCATCTTGGCCATCCCATCTGACGGCCACCTCTGTGAAAGCTGGAACTCCTGTAAGCCCCTACATACTCAACCTGATGTCACACTCTCAATCAGTTGTCAGTGGTTGATAACGAAGGGGGGAAAAAGAGAAGCAAGATTTCAATAATGTACATATGAGCATCCTAAAAGAAATAGAAAGAGGACTTATGGAAAGTGAATTGCCCTTAGAATTGGAGAAGACAGGCCCTCTAATTATGTGAAATGACATTACCTCAGAGCCCCGGGCTCACAGTACTATGAACAGGAAGGAAGCGGACCCATGGCTCTCTAAGAGCTGTTTCCTCTCTGCTTTATTAATTTCAGAGATTAGCAAGCCACTGCTCTGCGGGCCTCATACACTGAGATAACAGCCATTGTGTTTGCTGCAACTCCTGCTAATCAAGTCTTGGTAGATCAGTGAGGCTGTATGTTTTCATTGTCAAATTTAACCAACCAATGACTCTCATGGCCCCTTGTATCATCATCCTGACCCCTTAGAACTAACACTGGAATCTCTAACTCTTGAGTTTCAGAACCTGGGCTGGGTGGTTTCTCAGTCCCCAGGGAGGAAGTAGAAACGTGTCAGATTAGTCTTTAAAAGGACACTGGGGCCACAATGTTAAATGAGAATCCCTAGCTGTGTCCTACTCAAGATTTCTTATATTCAGTCATACTAGGGCAACAGTGAAATGCCTACCATTCAGACACTTCTGGTTTTTATTAAGAGAAAAAGTGGGATCTTCTTCTTGCCCTTCCTCTGCCTTACTTAAGGGATGTGGTGCAAAGATGGCTGGATGTACTTTCAGTTCTCCTGGGTCTCACAAGGGGCTGTGTTAGCTCACCTCCAGGTCTTTTCTTGGTCTAACTCACATTGCTTACATTGTGGGTTGGTTCCTTGCCACCATGTTTGCACAGAGAAGTTTAATAACACATCTTATGTTCAAATTTAAGGTTAGAAGCATTCAACACCCCCACCTCCCCCGTAGCCCATTGTCTGACCGATTCCTGGAGCTTTCTGGGCTCCTGACGATTTCCCACCATGGCGTAATGGGGAAGCGAGCTCTTGATTACAAGACGACTTTTCCATTCATCCATTGTTTGACCTGCAATTTTATTCTCGACTCTCCAAGGTGCTTCCCAAACGACCTAGACACAGGGCTTAGGGAGACAAAAAGTACACTGTCTTTCAGATACGAAGATGAGACCACTGACCCCGTGAATCACAGACTTTCACTCTGAGGATAGGTTTTCCATGGGGTCAGCCACATTCTTTTTCCTGTCTCTATCCCCACTCCGCCTCCCACACTGTGCTCCTCTCTACCCTCAGTGATGAGGGATTGGAATGAGGGGTCAGCTCCTAGCTATGGATAGGGCAAAGCCCACAGGAGAGCTGAGGGGTGGAAAGAGGATCAATCTTATGTCACTACAAGAATGCAGGACCTCAGACAGGACATGTGGCTCCTAAGAATGGCCTTGTTTTTGAGTGGTATGCAGATGACCCACAGAAGGATTCTTCTGTTCTGTGAGTCTCAGTTTCCTCATCTAAAAACCATGATGGTTGGATCAGGTGATATCTAAGCATAGTTATCTTTGTATACGACCATACAGAACTAACTGAGCAAAGCCATCTTAGTATGTGACCTCTATGCTGTATGAGAGAACATACAAACCCAAGTAAAGCTGTCATTTCTTTTAGTTTTACATGATCTGGACATGAAATAAGAGCTCTGCTAAGATGTACAGTCCTCCTTCCCATAAATTTTGTTAGTACAGAACCAGGCACTAAAATCTCTATGTCCAGATTTGTGCTTCTGGAAAGATGGGTAGGAATTCTTTTTCCCCACTCTTCTCACTGGATACAAGTTAAATCCCTGGGCATCACATATAAAACAAGCATAAAAAGACCCCAAAGGATGGAGAGAAGACTGCAGGTCAGTTAGGGGCCCTCAGGACCTGAGGAACAGTGTGGTGGTGAGTTCCCTGGTGGCAAGATAGGATAAGCATTGGACTGTTAACTTCAAGGCTGGCAGTTTTAATCCACTAGTCACTTCTCAGGAAAAAAGATGAGATGCTTTGTTTTTAGCAGCCTCGGAAACCTTATACAGGGTCACTAGGAATTGGAATCGACTTGATGGCAGTGGTGGGTTTGGTTTGGTTGGTATACCAGACTTGGAGCTGAAGAAGCCAGCAACCCATAAATGACATTGGCACAGACAAAAAGGCCCCAACAAAAACCTACTTCCTCTAGTCAAAGGTCCAGAAAAGGGATAGCCTAGCAAGAGAGAGAACTTTTAGACACTAACCATTCTACTCCAGCCAAATATCACAGAGAAAGTGCAGTCCCACCCTATTCCACAGCAATGAAGTGTCCCTCCCTCTCTCCACTGAGTCTGTATCCGAATGTGCCAAGAATAAAGACTTCCTTTATAGCTCAGCGGTAACAAGTCAACCCCCTCTCCCAGCTAAGTCAGCAAAGGCCACAGGGGGAACAGTAATAAGGCACACTTACTCCTCCTCATCAGGGTGGTATCAGCAAAGGCCTCTTAGGGAGCTAGCAATCTCACCCCCACCCAGCAGTAATAAGGAGCCCACCCTCCCTGGTGTCACTTGAATGTCTATACCCACCTGGTAAGAAATGAGGTGGTGCCCCCTTTCCCTGCTGGAGCGGTGTCAGAGGATCCGCTAAAACAGAAGATTTAAATAAGATCCAGTCTTATAATATAATACCCAAAATGTTTAGGTGTCAATTAACAACAACAACAAAAAAATCACTCATCATACCAAGGACCAGGAAGATATCAAACTGAATGAAAAAGATAATCAACAGACGTCAACACTGAGATGACACAGATGTTTAAAAAATCTGACAAGAATTTTAAAACAGTAATCATAAAAATGCATTAACTAGCAATTATAGACATGCTTGCAACAAGCGAACAATAAAGTCAGCAAAGAAATAAATGATATAAAGAACCAAATAGAAATATTAGAAATGAAAAACACAATAACTGATTACAAAGAAAAAAAAAGACAAAACACCCCCAGAGGACGGAATAAAGAAGAGAAAGAATTAGTGAAGTTAAAGGTACAACAATAGAAATCAGTCAATTTGAGCAACACGGAAAACAGACTGGGGAAAAAAGTGAACAGCACCTCAGGGACATGTGGGATTATAACAAAAGAGCTAACATTCATGTTAACAGAATCCCAGGAGAGAAAGGGGAGGATTGAAAACGTGTTCAAATAAATGGTGGCTAAAATCTCCCCCAAATTGTCAGAAGACAAAACCCCGCAATGCCAAGAAGTTGAGCGAACCCCAGATAGAATAAACTGGAAGAAATCCAAACCAAGATCCACCATAATCAAGTTACTGATAAGTAAAGATAAAGGACTGAAAGCAGCGGGACAAATGACACCTTAACTTGTTGTTGTCGGTGCTGACTCACAGTGAGCCCATGTACTGTCTGGTCCTGTGCCATCCTCACAAGCGTTGAACCCATTGCTACTGTCATGATGCCAATCCATCTCATTGGGGGTCTTTTACTTTTTCACTGACCTTCCAGCATGATATCCTTCTCCAGGGACTGGTCCCTCCTGATAACATTTCCAAAGCATGAGAGACGAAGTCTCATGATCTTGGCTTCTAAGGAGCACTCCGACTATATTTCATCCAACACAGATCTATTTGTTCTTTTGGCAGTCCATGGTGCTTTTAATATTCTTTTCCAACACCATAACTCAAATGCATCAATCTTCTACGGTCTTCCTCATTTGTTGTCCAACTTTCACATACATAGGAGGCTATTGAAAATACCATGGCTTGGGTCAGGTGCACAAGTGGTGGACACCTTAACAAGAGGGGGGAAACGGAATGACAGTGGATATCTGATCATAAACCTTGGCGGTCAGAAGGAAGTGGCACAATGTTTTTCAATTGCTAAAAGAAGATTCAGAATCCAGAATATGTTGACTGAGAATTCTATACCTAGTGAAACTATGTTTCTGGTCTGAAAGATAAATTGAGATACTTTCAGATTAAAAGGAAACTAAGAAAATTTGCCAACAACATACGTCATATTGCTAAAGGGATTTCTCTAAACAGAATGAAAATGCTAAAAGAAAGAATCTTGAACATCAGCATGTAAGATAGAACAATGGAAAGAGCAAAATATGGTTAAACCTAATACACTTTCCTTCTCCTAAATACACTTCTCCTAATACACTTTCTAAATTACATGTGATGACTGAAGCAAAAATTATGGTTGTCTGACATGGTTCTAGACTTAGGTAGAAGAAATATTTCACATCAATGCACTATAATAAATAAGGGAGAGTAAAGGGATGTAAAGGCAGATTTCTACACTTGCCATGAACTAGTAAAAGGCTGACCCAAGTAGACTGTGGTAAGATATATATGTACATATATGTTAATGCCTAGAACAACAAAATTTAGCCAGGAAGAATATGTATACACTAGAATTTCTTAAACTACAACACCATTCAAAATGGCTCTAAAAAAATTGCTGTTGTTGTTAAGTGCCATCGAGTCAGTTCCGACCCATAGCGACTCTGTATAGGGTTTCCAAGGAGCAGGTGGTGAGCTTGAACTGTCGACCTTGCAGTTCAAATGGCTTTGCAGTCTGCCACGTTAACCCACAGTGCCACACCTAAAAAAATTACTTAGGTGTAAATCAAACAAAACATGTAACAGGATTTGTATACTGAAAATGACACGACACTGATCAAGCAAGTGAAAGAAGATCTAAATGATGGGGTCATAGATGGGCAGTGTTCACAGATAAGAAGACTCAGCATAGCCAAGATGTCAGAGCTCTCCAAATTACTATAGGAGTTAAACACAATTTGTATCAAAATTCCATCAAGATGATTTTTTTTTTTTTTTTAAATCACAGACGTGTGTATTCTGGAATTCAATGGAAATCCAGAGGAAATCCAAGAAATGAAACAATCCTGTAAAAGAGTGAAGTGGGAGGATTAGTCTACTTGCTTTCAGGACTTGTTATATAATTACAGTAATCAAGACTGAGTGATATGGTAGAGGGATAGATACACAGATCAATGGAACAGAACAGAGAACTCAGAAATAGACTCACACAAATAGTCCTAACTGATTTTTTTTTTTTTTTTTACAAAAGTGCAAAAGCAGCTCAATGAAGCAATGGTATCTTTTTCAACAAATGGTTCTGGTGCAACTGAACATCTAGAGACAAAGAAAAAAGAAAAACAGTATCTTGACCTAACCCACATCTTACACAAAATGTTAACTTAAAATAACTCATAGAGTTAATTGTAAAACTATAAAACTGAATCCAGTTTTAACAGTTATGGAAGCAACAGTCAAGAAATCAAATGATGTTTTGCATTGGGCAAATCTTCTGCACAAGACCTTTATTTAAAGTGTTCAAGAGCAAAGATGTCAGTGTGAGGACTAAGGTGCACCTGACCCAAGCCAGGGCATTTTCAATAGCTTCATATGCATGTGAAAATTGGACAATGAGTAAGGAAGACTGTAGAAGAATTGACGCATTTTAGTTATGGTGTTAGAGAAGAATATTAAGAGTATCATGGATTGCTCTAAGAACAAACAAATCTATGTTGGAAGAAGTACAGCCAGAATGCTCCTTAGAAGCCAGGAGAGCGAGACTTCATCTCTCATTCTTTGGACATATTATCAGGATGAACCAGTCACTGGAGAAGGACATTATACTTGTGGAGGGTCAGCTAAAAAGGGAAAGAGTCCCAAGGTGATCGATTAGCACAGTGATAGCAGCAAAGGTCTCAAGCTTGGCAATGACTGCGAGGATGGTACAGGACCAGGCAGTGTTTCATTCTGTCATGCATAGGGTTGTTATGAGTCGGAACTGGCTTGACAGCACCTAACAGCAACAATGACAATAAAACTGTCAGAAAAAAAAAAAAAAGGCACAGGAGCAAATCTTTGGGATATAGAGCTAGACAAAGAATTCTTAGACCTACACCCAAAGCACAATACGTAAGAGGAGAAATTGACAGAGCAAAGCTCATTAAAATGAAAAATAATTGCTTGGTCAAAGACCCTGTGAAGAGGATGAAAG